AAGTCTTTGCAGTTCGAGATTGGTGAACCTCTGCCCATCTGCACGTCTAAGATACTGTGTCCCTTTACGTCATTCGTTTTTATAACCAATCATAATACTGACCTGTTGCCAGTTAGCTGAATTGCTTCCTAAATATTCCTCCAGCTGTTTCTTACTTTTCCAACTTTATTTTCCGCTATAACAACATTTTTAAGAAGTGTTGCTGTCAAAACGAGATATTTTTCATGAAATGTAAAACGTCTCATTTTAAACATTTGATATGTTTTCTACATTCTATTCTGAATAAAATGTGGCTTTATGAGACTTTATCAGACATTGTACACAGCATCCAAACTTCTTTGTCAGCCCCTCATAAACAACAGGTTGGAACAGCAGGTAGTTGGGACTTCTGTGCTCACAACTAGAGCTCTGTGCCTGAAGTCTTGATTGTAGTTCATTGTGGACATGGATACAGGTAGCTGGAGACCGGATGGCCCTGCAGTCCTTCTCATTATACTTCTTTAAAGTCTACTTGAGATCTGCTGCCTTAGGTGGATGCTTAGATGGTGAATAATGTAAATTCTCCTCTGACGAGTCTGCATGATCACAAAAACAGGCACGCACATAGACGTCTGCACAGATCCTGATAAAAATTTGTGTCACCTACACCCACAGTGAACCTTATCGGACTTGGATATGTGGAAATTATAATCAGGGCTCATTATGACCATATTAAGAATACGCTCGCTCTAAGATGTCACGCAGAGTAGAAATAAACTGTCAGGAACTGAGTGATTACAGCAGCTTTTGGCTCAAAACACAAAATAAAGATAGCGGGTCAGTTTGAAAAGATTCATGGAGTCTATTCTGTTCATTTTAATAAAAAACATCTTCATTTTGAAGTAAAAATCACTGTAATCCTTGACTTTGATGCCTGCGTGTGCGTGTTGGCTCTGAAATCAGAAATGTCATTAGCAACGGAGCCTAAGGCCAGCTGAACACTGGGTAATACCTGTCACAGAGCGTCAGGGGAAAACACATTTGGTTGTTGAGCAGAGCGACTCTGACTCACTTATAATCAATACGAGCAGATCCCGGCGCCCCGCGTCCCTCAGAGGCTCCAGCATTTACATTTTGATTCGGGCCCTCGATGAGAAGAGGAGGGAGTCATCAGAATAAAAAAGGTTAACTCTGCAGCCTTTTAACTCTGCTCCTCCTCCTCCCTCCACAGAGCAGCTCAGAAGATGAAGGCGGGTTGGATCTTCCTCACAGGCTGGTAGCAGCAGCAGGAAGCATACAGAGATGCCACGAAGCATCAGAGCCAGTTTGCCTTCGACTCTCCGACAAGTCTGAAGCACTTCTCTTGATCTGTGCCCCGCTGATGGCTTGTCAATATATAGATCCCCCATCCCCCCGCTCTCTAATTCAGTGAAAAAATCTAGTTTTCCATTAGTCTCTGCCTCGCCAACGTTACCCCGAGCTTCTCCACCTGTAATTATTAAAGGCAGATTCCCTGAAAGCAATCAGCCCGCCGCCATTTGTATCTTTGAAATCTTAATAAGCCGAAGGGAGGGACGGGAAAGTGAACAGGAAAAAAAAAAGAAATGGAAGAAGTAATGAGAGGGAAGGTGATAGGAAAAAGTAAAGTGGAGAGGAGATGAAGGAAAGAAAAGGATGAGTTAGGGGAGACAGAAAAAGTTTGCAAGTGACGAACAAAAGGAACGACAAATGGGAAAACAATGAAGAAGCAAATGAAGCACCAACGAAGGAAAAGAAAAGGAGACAAGGAAGAGGGTAGAGAGGAAAAGGAGAAGGGAGACAAGGTCATACCAGAGGATATGGAAAAAGAAAAGAGGAGACTAGAAATGAGAAGAGAATGTTTTGAGGTGGAAGAACAGAAGATGATGAGAAAGAAGTAGAGATAAAGAGATAAGGAGAAAAGAGGGGGAGGAGAAACCAGAGACACAGAATGAGGTACTGAGTTAAAGAAAAAGTTTAGAGCTGACAGGAGGAAATAAGAGAAGGTGTAAGATGACAGACTAGAAGAGGAAGAAGGCTAAAGTAGAGGAGGAAGGGGGAAATATAACGATGCCTGGGGAATGAGAGGACATAAAAAGAGAAGATGAGAAAAGTTGAAGAAGGGACAGAATGAAAGAGAAGAGATGAAGATGCAATGTTCAAGTGGATAAAATGATGTTAGCCCAGCATCAGGCCGGTGACCTGTCCAAGGTGTATCCCACCTCTGACCCTATGGAAGCTGGGACAGGCTTCAGCACCTGGATTATGAGGTCTTTGTTACTATTTTCTCTTTGCTCTTTTTGCTTTTTTCCTAATTTGCTGTTTCTCAGTTTTATGCTCTAGCAGACGGAGGTGAACTTTACCGAGGGTTCTTTCCCCATTCACATTCTGTCAGGATACACCGAACAAACTTTGTAGAAAAGGTCTTTCTCTTGCTTTTTTTTTCAGATTCCTTTATCTTCAGAAATATCTGACAGACAATGGTACGTGCAGAAGCCCCAAATTAAAACTAGTTACTGGCAAACAAAGATCATCTGTGATAATGCTTAGTTCTGATTCTCTTGGGTCTGATTTTTGACAGCCTTTAACCTTTCTAGTACAACCTGAGCATGAGCAGACGGGTTTATTTGAGGACAGCAAAGGTAATTCTACTATTGTTACGTGTCCTGCCTGCTGCTCGCTCTAACACAACAACAGACACAATGTACCCACATTGTAGACTGTATACAAAAGATGGGCGTAG